AAAATGCTGTGACATGGTACTATGATTAACATTTTAAATTTTGATAATTTTAATGCATACATGTACACTCACAAAAATACCCCCAAAATAAGAGAATTTAGTATATAGCCTTGACAAAGGCTATATTTTTCCTTGTCTTAATATTGCATTTTTTTTCTATCTGTGTAACTTCATGTGGTAATCCTGATAAGATTAAATTCAGTTCACAACTAATGGTTTTGCAATATTATATATAGGCTGTGAAATTGTCCATAGAGGCTGCAAATTAATAAATATTGTATCCACTGACATTTATTTTGTATTTACATTTGCCATGAGTTCCACAGTATCTTTTTCTGGTGTGGCTACAGTGACTGTGTAGTGTTTTTGTTTTGTCGATTGTTGTCAGTTGTTCGTTTTGTGTTCTTGGAATTTTGTACAAAAATCAACAACGGTTAAATAGGTATGTTATTTCCATTTTGCAGTATATCATAGACAGTACTTGTATACTTTGTTATCCAGCATAAATATTGGATTGTGCGGAAGCATGAGATTGTAAAATGTAAATTTCGTTCATTAATGTTGTAAGATGACTTGCATATTGACTATGTCCCGGCCTGTTTACTTACTTGTTGTCAGTGTCTGAGTGGTATATACAAAATACGACCAAGTAAACGTCAGAATATTAAAAAATCAGTTGCCCATGCCAAGAGAGTCGTAGAACCAAAACAATCTGTCAGCAGTCGCCGTCCACAGCAGCGATATGATTTTACACATCGAAATTGAGAATCGCAGGTGTACACATATTGCATAGAAATGAACACTAAATACATCTATCCCGGCCAGCATTTCCTGGCATAACTGGCATTCCCATCTATTTGCTTCTATTTCCACTATCCTAAAACGCTCAAGTGAATGTTGTCAAATTCACGAGTGTGCGTACATACAGTGGCGTAAACATTGCTACAATCAATGACGCACTGAACAGAAAGTCCATTCTGGGCTAGTACCATTGTCAAATTCTGGGGAGTAGAGGACTATTTATATGGGAGACGTTACAATAAGGAACTATTAAAATCGTTCAATTTGCATATCAAAATCCTTTATTGGAACAGAACATGTTCTATATTCACCAAAAAACAAAGTTGTTATTTTTCTAGACACACACCAGACTTGAAACAATAGAAATCGTCCGATCCAAGCGACCTGCGTTCTTGAAAATCGAGTCTTATTGCCTTTGCATTTCCGAGCAAAAAATGTTGAGGCCAAATCTTCCATGAATTTTTCATAATTTAGCTAATTCAATCCAGCGGTTAGATAGGGTATTTATTAGAGACGCCCGGAGAACCAAAATTTGGGATGTGAATCACTCCGGCGACAAAAAAATCGGCGAAAATAGCCAAGGGGGTGAGGGACTGCATTTCAAAAACATGTTTCATATATAGGGTATATAATCATGACAACCGGACAGGGCAAAGCATCTACACAAATGTATACCACCTCCCCACATAGCATAATACATTGGCAATACATGCCAGCATTTTGTGGTACCACATCATTCTGTAAACACAATACACTGAAATAAACCAATTCTGGAACTACCGGTATATATAATATTTTTTTTTTTACATACTCAAGCATTGATTGGACATTGCAACACTAATAATGGCTGCATGGTGTAACTATGGGTGTCTGGACAAAAAGTACCCCTGACAAGTCACATGTTCTTTACACAACTGAAGACTATATATATAGAATTACTGTTTGTAACAACTTTGTATAGCAAGGGTTGAAGTAATTACACTTATAGATGTCAGGCAGTTAATGATACTACACTGTATCAATATTAGTATGTGCCATATTGCTGGCAGGTGACTGTTTTTTATGAATTCAATGCTGGCACATACAATTTTCAAAGTGAAATTATTCAAAACAAATTCAAAAGATTTGAATATACTGTATTTACTCTTTTAGAATTTATTTGATTACGTAAATGACAGGTGTGTCTATGATCATCATGGCTTATGTCAATAATACTACATTAGTAATAAACAAGCCATGCATAGCACAGTCCCCGTTAGTTATCAAATTTAAGATATATAGTTTTGTTTATAGTAATATAGCTGGAATATAACCATGTCAGGAATATGATTTTTTAACATTAAACAAATTGACATTTGTATCTGATCGTCAAACAAGTACTTGTTCATATTGAGAGATATTGCTCTGGAACAGCATTCAAAATCATCCATTTTGAATACATGTATATATATAAATGATGTATAATGAATATATAAAATTTAAATATAATAAGTCAAAGCATTTAAGAGATATGGCTCTAGAAGCCCAATCATTAAAACAAAATGACCACCAGTCAGCCATTTTGAATCCAATTTGAAAAATAAAATGACGAGCATCAGGAACCCGTAATGTCTAATGTATGTACCAAGTTTGAACGAAATCCACCCATAAATGCTTGATATTTGATGATTTTTTAGCACAACAAATGACCACCACTGTCTATCTATGACATGATGTATAATGAATATTTAAAAATTAATAATCAGTAAAAGCAAGTCAGAGATATGGCCCGAGATCCACATTCATGAATACAAAATGGCCGCCAGTCGGCCATTTGAAATCTTATCTGAAAAACAAAATTATTTGCATCAAGGTCCCATAATGTCTAATGTGTATATACCAAGTTTGAACAAAATCCATCTGTAAATAGCAGTGAAATGATTGATTTTTAGAATATTTTAGCACAAAAATGGCCGCCATTCGGCCATCTTGAATCAGATCATAAAACAAAATGATGTGCATCAAGGTCCTATAAAGTTTAATGTATATACCAAGTTCGAACAAAATACATCTGTAAACAGCCAAGAAATGCTTGATTTTGATGATTTTTAGCACAAAAATGGTCGCCATTCGACCATCTTGAATCAGATCGTAAAACAAATTGACGTGCATATGCATAATATCATGTATGATGTATGTGTGAAGTTTGATTGTGATTGGTCCAGGCATTTCTAAGATACAGGTCCGGACACACGCACACACGCATGCACAAGACACACGGAGGTCAAAACATAAGTCCCCGTTTTCGGAGTGCGTCCGAACGGGGACTAACAAGCCATGCATGGCACAGTCCCAGTTAGTTATCAAAATTAAGATATATAGTTTTGTTTATAGTAATATAGCTTGAATATAACCATGTCAGGAATATGATTTTTTAACCATAAAAAAGATTGACATCTGATCGTCTAATAAGTACTTGTCCATATTGAGAGATATTGCTCTGGAGCAGCATTCAATATCAGCCATTTTCAAAACATGTATATATAACATGATGTATAACGCATATATAAAATTTGAATATAATCAGTCAAAGCATTTAAAAGATATGGCTCTAGAAGCCCAATCATTAAAACAAAATGACCGCCAGTCAGCCATTTTTAATCCAATCTGAAAAATAAAATGACGTGCATCAGGAACCTGTAATGTCTAATGTATGTACCA